CTTGCAATAAAAGTGAATGTTGTGAATTTTAATACACAAGTGATATATTTGTATAAATATGCACATGTATGCTATTATATATACAGTTAAGTTCGGAAAAATGGTTGGGGGGTGGACAACGAAAAAAATTATGTAAAAACAAATATTAAGTTAGAAAAGTACTTAAAAAACCAAAAACAAAAACGACTAAGTTTATAAAAAAGTTAACAACTAGTACCATACTTATTTTTCTAAAACTTTTTCTTTCTGCCTACTCCCCAAGTGTCGCAGGGGTCTAGTTTGCCACATTTTTGTGATTGTGATGAGATTAAGTCTTGCATTTAGTCTCAGCCAACAAGACTCAAACGGTTTCTGATAGAAAAGTCGTCGAACGAGGTAGTCACATAATTACAAGATAGTATCTTAGCTTTTACTGCTCAAAACTAAGTACAAGAAGTCAGGCTAATATTTCGCTTACAAAACATATACCTTTTCTTTCTTGATGCAAGTTGCAGATCTTGCTAGCATATATGGCAGCTACACCCTAACTGCCTAAGGAGCGGTGGCACCAACCAGCCAATTGACATCACCAATTGCTAGAAAATGTTGGCACAATCATAGCAGTCCCATAGGTGTATGTGTTTGTTTTCCTACAAACCATTTGGCCATTTGAACGAATCAAATCTATCCCTAACATGCTGAATCAATTGTGTCGCAATATCTACCTCATAAGTCAACCACCAACTACTTGTAACTTCTTGGAGACTCAGACAATGCCACCGTTTTGCTACCCAAAAAATACTGCCTTGTTCATACCCATTTTGTCAATCCATATGCCCAATCAGTGACTTGGTCTTCGATGCATGGAAGTAATTAACGCTTTTTGTCTAGTCCATGGTTATGCATCACTTGCCTTTGACGTGCTCAATCATGACCACGATGTGATCTCATCCTTCGCCATCGTGGGGTTTACACAACAACGAATCCTACAAATGTGACTATCCCACATTTTCTTGGGGTTCTAACTTGTGTGCCTTGCCTTAACACGTGGCTAGGACTTTAGTTTGAAATCATCATTCGTTTTGTTTAAAATGCATTTTTCCATTACGTTAAAAAAAAATTAAAAACAATGTCGAACTTTCTCCAAAATAAAAAATAATTTTCCAAATTGATTGACTTGACCATAATCATCACCATTAGCTCACACCCGAGAAAAAAACACACCAAAAAAAAAAAAAAAAATCCAATATTGTCACCGACTCAAATCCATACGCCACCACTTGACTCAGGCCACCAAAAACCAGTCACAATCCCCATCTCCAATCAACCCTGTATTCATAACATACCTAACTTTTATTTTTATCACAAATTTATGTATATACGATGACTACTTCCCATTTTGTAATCCAAAACAATTACTAATACTACATAAGAGGCATTTCTCTCTAGAAAGAGTTTTATTTTACGTAAATTAGATATTCATGCATAAGTTTAAATAAGACACTGACAAAAACTTACCATACTAAAGTAGTCTCAACTTTAATGCACTATGTGATCCACAAATGATAAAATCAATAATTATTCACCATAATAACATTTTTTAATAATGACTTTAATAAATAACTTCCTTAAAATCCATGTGTGGGGGAAAGTAGAGGTAGAAGTGTCAGTTTTACCTTGAGGAATGTGGCTGGTGTTCACGGACTTGGGCTCTGCTTTGAATGTTGGTGACTTGTCCAGTTGCTTAGTATAACTTGGTTTCCAAGAGGTAGAACTAGAGTTATGGGCTGCACATGACTCACCCCCCCCTCTTGAATTGTTGCTCCACTTTGATGGTCTTGTGCACCATATCTTTCAACTCCATATAATGCTACATCTCTACCTTATCTAGGATTTCCCGTTTTAAGCCAAGTAAAAACCTAGCCATGGTAGCCTCTCGATCCTCCTCTACATTAGCTCGGATCATAGCAATCTCCATCTCCTTGTAGTAATCATCCACGCTCTGACTTCCCTGTCTAAGACCTTGTAGTTTTTTGTACAACTCTCGGTAGTAGTAGCTTGGAATGAACCGATTTCTCATCATCGTTTTCATCTCCTCCAATGTCTCTATTGAACGTTCTCTATTTCGCCTCCGGTTTATAACTAGTTGATCCCACCAAGTTATAGCATATTCAGAAAACTCAATCACTGCTAATTTTACCTTCTTTGCTTCGGAATAGTTATTGTAGTCAAATACGAACTCCATCTCCCACTCAAAATATGCTTCAAGATCAGATCTACCTTGAAATGATAGAATCTTCATCTTAATACCACCCAAGTTGTTATCTTCTCGGTTCCTAGCTTCTCTAAACCGTCCTCCATGTATCCTATTACTAACAACAGAATTCCGATCATCTTCTTCATCAAAACTAGCCCCCATAAGGCTCNCCTCCATGTCTCCTATTACTAACAATAGAATTCCGATCATCTTCTTCATCAAAACCAGCCCCCATAAGGCTCTTCATTCTCAAACCTTACTTCCATCGGCTGAACTCTTTCCCTTCTATACACATTAGGGACGTTTTGTGGCTGTCTCTCATGTGTTTTCTCCATCTGATCTATCCGTTCGTATTTTTGGAAGTTGTAGTCTTTTTTAGAAAATGTTGAGTTTCTATATTGAAGATGCAAATTTCTTAGTGAGAATTTGACGGCTAGTCTAGAGGCACATTTATATAAGACAATCACAAAAGGCTTATTTGAGAAACTTCCACACAAGTTTCTTCCTTTTTGACTTCTTTGGGTCCAAGCCGATTCACCTTCGAGACACATCTTAAAGCTCACTACATTAAACTTGTGGTCGTTAATGTTCCTAATAAATGTTAGGACTTACAGTGAAATCAATGATTAAGATTATCAAGTCTAATTTTTAAGTTCATGTAACATTATTCTTTTACAAATATGCTAAATTTTACGTAGGACTTACAAAATATGCTAAATTTTACGTAGTTATTACAAATATGCTAAATTTTAAGTAGTTACTACAAAATTTTACAACTTTACAAAAAATGTGTTGTATCGCAATTACTAAAAAATTAAAGCCAATGTTATCACTCAATTTATTGGTGTTACAACAAAAAAAAACACAAAAAAGAATTATTTAAAATATATTTTAATATTTTAGGATCGATTCTAACTTTTTTTGTAACTTGATCCCAAGTAGTTTAAGCCAACAAAAATTTCAATACGATGCGTCTCTCTGTACCATAGTTTTATCCATACTAAAATAAGAAAGTTATTTGACATTTAAAGAATGGGATAAGGCTATGGTAACTTAAAAAAAAATGGGTATCATACCGAATATAAATGGTAGCTCAGGTGCATTTGTAGCTATTGATNAATGGGTATCATACCGAATATAAATGGTAGCTCAGGTGCATTTGTAGCTATTGATTATAAATTTAATAAAATAACAAAAAATTTACATGTGTCAAGTTTTAAATAGACAAAAAAATGGATATATGATACTAAAAAGTAACTTTTCAATATTACGGTGACCATGTTTTTTTTTTTTTTTAAGTATGCGAGCATAAACGTTAACAAAATAACAATTTTACCCNTAAAGCTCACTACATTAAACTTGTGGTCGTTAATGTTCCTAATAAATGTTAGGACTCACAGTGAAATCAATGATTAAGATTATCAAGTCTAATTTTTAAGTTCATGTAACATTATTTTTTTACAAATATGCTAAATTTTACGTAGGATTTACAAAATATGCTAAATTTTACGTCGTTATTACAAATATGCTAAATTTTAAGTAGTTACTACAAAATTTTACAATTTTACAAAAAATGTGTTATATCGCAATTACTACAAAATTAAAGCCAATGTNTTACAATTTTACAAAAAATGTGTTATATCGCAATTACTACAAAATTAAAGCCAATGTTTATCACTCAATTTATTGGTGTTACAACAAAAAAAAACACAAAAAAGAATTATTTAAAATATATTTTAATATTTTAGGATCGATTCTAACTTTTTTTGTAACTTGATCCCAAGTAGTTTAAGCCAACAAAAATTTCAATACGATGCGTCTCTCTGTACCATAGTTTTATCCATACTAAAATAAGAAAGTTATTTGACATTTAAAGAATGGGATAAGGCTATGGTAACTTAAAAAAAATGGGTATCATACCGAATATAAATGGTAGCTCAGGTGCATTTATAGCTATTGATTATAAATTTAATAAAATAACAAAAAATTTACATGTGTCAAGTTTTAAATAGACAAAAAATGGATATATGATACTAAAAAGTAACTTTTCAATATTACGGTGGCCATGTTTTTTTTTTTTTAAGTATGCGAGCATAAACGTTAACAAAATAACAATTTTACCCTTGGTTGCAACAAAACAATGAACTATTTATGGGGAAAAAAAAAATGAACCGTGAAATTTAAAACTTCAATTTTATTCATATCACCACAAAGATGAAGTCTTTAATACCGGAAACAAAATTCAGCAANTACGGGGAAAAAAAAAATGAACCGGGAAATTTAAAACTTCAATATTATTCATATCACCACAAAGATGAAGTCTTTAATACCGGAAACAAAATTCAGCAAGGCACCTATCACTTCCCAAACAGTCAAAAGAATTATTTTATCAAACTATAGGGATGCTAGTGTAATGTATCCTAAGAGAAGTTTATTGGGTTGGTGAACCTGGCCTATGGACTACATTACATTGGCTTACGTTTGCTTGGTCAAAAAGTTCACATCGACTTATCAAACACTGTCCTCTCGAAAACCGCGTGCTATAAATCATAACCTGGGCTGTCACTGGATTGGCATCCATTTTTCACAGCCGCCTCCACTAGCCAGCTCTCTCTGCCAGCTCAAAATTATCCCACGCAATTTGGTCCCTACTGAACCTTCAGCTTCTCTTTCCTCTCTCTCCTGACCCAGCTTCTCTCACCTACCTATAAATACCCACCTACAGAGCCAAAATCCTCATCAGTCCACAAAAAAACATAACCTTTTCTGAGACCCCACAGCTCTCGATTCTCTTCTGCACGGAATACCCTTATTTCCATACCAATGGCTTCTTCTTCTTCAACTTCAATGACTTTGATGATATCTCTTCTTCTTGGCTCTTTCATGGCTGCCACAGCGAACTTCTACCAAAATTTTGATATCACATGGGGCGACGGCCGTGCTAAGATACTCAACAACGGCGAGCTTCTTTCTCTCTCACTTGACAAAGCCTCTGGCTCTGGCTTTCAATCCAGGAATGAGTATTTGTTCGGAAAAATCGATATGCAGCTCAAGCTTGTCCCCGGAAACTCAGCCGGCACTGTCACCGCCTATTACGTGAGTTCTTCAACATTTTCTACTCTAAAAACTTAAGTTGTTCAAGACTAGTGTAATATAGTTATTCATTTGTCATTCAGGTGTGAATTCCTAATAGTTAATGATTAATTCTCATGTTGTTTGTAATTTCCATTGCAGTTGTCCTCGCAGGGATCAGCTCATGATGAGATAGACTTTGAGTTCTTGGGAAACTTGAGTGGCGAACCATACCTTCTTCACACCAATGTGTTCAGCCAAGGCAAAGGCGATAGAGAGCAGCAATTCTACCTATGGTTTGATCCCACTGCTGATTTCCACACCTATTCCATCCTCTGGAATCCACAACGCATTATGTACGTACCATTAATTGAGTATTGTTTTATCTTCTCTGAGTCATGTAGTAGGGCTGTGTACTAATCAATTCTAACCAGCATATTTAATTAATTTTGTTAAATGATTTGCACTAATCTAACTTATGTGTTAATCCTATGTAATTTTAATATGCACAAATAACCGGTGAACTAGAAATTTGATACTACGACTCTTTTTTTGCCCGACCATAGCATGGACTTATTGGCCCTGATAAACTAAATCCTCAATTTGTACGCTGATACAATCTAGCATTAAAATCTTTTTACATCAAGGAAAAAAAATGAAAGATGTTATTCATACTATACCAATCAAACATTCATCATGTTGAATCAAGTTCTTCTATTTATTATTTATTTTCATATTAACATGTTATAAACTATTCGTATTGATAACTAAATTTGCATCATATTAACATGTCGTGTCAAGAATTATCGAATCAATTACAAATATTACTTTCTAACTTTATATTCAACTAATTTGTGTTTCTTGTGCTCAGATTTTCTGTGGATGGGACACCAATTAGGGAATTCAAGAATGCCGAATCAGAGGGTGTTGCATACCCCAAAAACCAAGCAATGAGGATATACTCCAGCTTATGGAATGCTGATGACTGGGCCACACAGGGTGGTCGAGTCAAGACAGACTGGACCAAAACTCCTTTCACTGCCTCTTACAGAAACTTCAATGCCAATGCCTGTGTATGGTCTTCTGGTTCATCTTCTTGCAGTTCAAGCTCTTCATCATCATCTTCAACCTCTGGCAATAATTCATGGTTAAATGAAGAGTTGGATTCCACAAGCCAAGAAAGGCTTAAATGGGTTCAGAAGAACTATATGGTTTATAACTACTGCTCTGATTCAAAGCGCTTCCCTCAAGGCTTCCCTCCCGAATGTGCTCTCAACAACTCAACATAGGAAAGAGAAGGGTTGCATAATATATATTGTCGCTTGAGCAGAGGTTTTTCCCCATGGTAATGCTTGGTTTCTTGTTTGGGTTGTGCAATTCAATTCTTTTATTCTTTTTATTTTGCTGATTGTAATTGAAACATAAAGACGTATATATAACATTATTTTTGTAGAATATTCTATAAGCAATTGAGCAAAAGAGGAATGTATTGTTTGGTACTGATAATCTTAGTTTTTTTTTTCTTCTTATGTTCTTCGGAATAGTAAGAAAGATAAAGCACTTGGGTTGCTTGAACAAAAGCTGAAAGTTAAAAAACGAACCGCTAACTACAGATTCCCTCCCTAAGGTTCAGTCCCTTTACATATTACATGTTCAAGGTTCAGTCTCGCAACATATTAACTCCTTCACCTTTAAAAACCTACACTTGACCCCCTTACCGTTATGGATTGAACTGAAATTCTTAACTCTGTTAGAAGACACATGTAAAAGACTGTTATATCCTTGTTTATATAAACGCACCCACCTACTATACACACTGAATATCAATGCAAATACTATTGAATAATACGAAGATGTAGCAAAGGAGAAATCCAGAGACATTGATCTAGTGATTTCAAGCTGCAATCTTGCTTAGGGCATTACATATCTGGTGAATCAAAGCAACATTGTCTCCACAAATATATTAATTCAAACCTTAGATTAGGGTTTTGAATGAGGTATAATATGAATTGTATGTAACAGTCGTTAGTTTGTCCAGTAATTGAATATATGACGTATTTGATGGTTAAAAAATGCACAAATCATTATATTTGTTTAGGTTAGATTGTGATTAATTTGCAATTTTCAGTATGCAATTTGTTTTTTTTGCATCAATAAATTATTTTATTTGTGAGATTTGGGATTTTCCACATTAATGTTATGATTTTGANTCCAGTAATTGAATATATGACGTATTTGATGGTTTAAAAATGCACAAATCGTTATATTTGTTTAGGTTAGATTGTGATTAATTTTCAATTTTCTGTATGCAATTTGTTTTTTTTTTGCATCGATAAATTATTTTATTTGTGAGATTTGGGATTTTCCACATTAATGTTATGATTTTGACTGAAAAATTGTCTGGGTCATGAATGGTTTGCATGTAACATGTTCAATGTTGTCGATTTGTGGATTTTCAAAAATAATATTGTTTAATTGATTGAGTACTATTTGTTTATTTGTTCAAAAAAAATATATTGATTAAGTACTATTTGTTTTTGTCCTTTTCCCTTTTTTCTCTCCCCTCACTTTTCCTTTCTTCTTCCACTGTCTTCTTTGTTGCCCCGTCTTCTTTTGAAGGATTAAGGCTTATATTGTGTATAGAAGGGCACTTTGGGCATTTACTTGGTCAGACTGATGGAAAAGCAAGCTAACATGACTTGGTCGACTTCCAATTAAATAGAACGGAAAAACTAACGTTTTCAGTTCAATACATAACATTAGGGGGGGTTAAGTGTAGGATTTTAAAGATGAAAGGGATAATCTATAACAGATCTGAACCCCAAGGGAGGTAATTCGTAATTTGCCTAAAACAATAACGTAACAAACAGTGTTTTTTTAAGTAACTTTTTTACAGGAAAAGACCGGTATGATCATGAAAGTAAAAGCATATACTTTGATCACTATGCAAGAAAATTATAAAAGTGCTCATTATCAATTTTAATATATAAGTAATATGCTTATATATAAACATATATATGCATTTGTGTTCTATAGTACGTGCAATTAAGTTTTAACAACATGATGCAATGGTAACAAATGCAGTAAAGTGTACGTCATGAATTTGAATACACAAGTAATATATTTGTATATATATGCACANTATTCTATAGTACGTGCAATTAAGTTTTAACAACATGATGCAATGGTAACAAATGCAGAAAAGTGTACGTCATGAATTTGAATACACAAGTAATATATTTGTATATATATGCACATGTATGCTATTATACATACCGTAGTGTTTTGAAAAAGGGTGGCCGGGTGAAAAACGAAAAAAATATGGAAAAACAAACATTAAGTTAAAAAAAAATTAAAACATAAAAAACCAACAAAGTATCTAAAAAAGTTAACAACTAGTACCATACTTATTTTTGTAAAACTTTTTCTTTCTGCCTACTCCCCAATTGCTAGGAAATGTTGGNAGGGTGGCCGGGTGAAAAACGAAAAAAATATGTAAAAACAAACATTAAGTTAAAAAAAAAAAAAAACATAAAAAAATAACAAAGTATCTAAAAAAGTTAACAACTAGTACCATTATTATTTTTGTAAAACTTTTTCTTTCTGCCTACTCCCCAATTGCTAGGAAATGTTGGCACAATCAGAGTAGTGCCACAGGTGTGAGTCGTGTTTTCCTACAAACCATTAGGTCATTTGAACCAATCAGATCTATCCATAACATGTTGAAGCACTTGTGCCCCAATATCCACCCCATAAGTTTGCCTCCAACTACTTGTAATATCAATGAACATTTGGTCAAGTAATACTCTGTCTCTTTGAAGTTAAAGGTTCAAATCCTCTTTCCCCTCCCAAAAAAAAAAAAAAAACTACTCGTAACTACTTGGATTGTTTGCCAATGCNTTCCTCCAACTACTTATAATATCAATGGACATTTGGTCAAATAATACTCTGTCTCTTTGAGGTTAAAGGTTCAAATCCTCTTTCCCCTCCCAAAAAAAAAAAAAAAAACTACTCGTAACTACTTGGATTGTTTGCCAATGCCGTCCTTTTGCTACCCACAACATACTACCTTGTGCATACCAATTTTGGTCTTCGATGCATGCAAGTAATTAACGTTCTTCGTCTAGTCCACGGTTATGCATTGCTTGCCTTTGACGTGCNTTTGCTACCCACAACATACTACCTTGTGCATACCAATTTTGGTCTTCGATGCATGCAAGTAATTAACGTTCTTCGTCTAGTCCACGGTTATGCATTGCTTGCCTTTGACGTGCCCAATCATGACCACGATGTGCTGTCATCCTTCGCCAATGTGGGGTTTACCCAACAACGAATCCTAAAAATGCAACTATCCTACATTTTCTTGAGGTTCTAATATGCTTGCCTTGTCTTAACACGTGGCTAGGATTAACGCATTGTGTACGTACCATCAATTGAGTACTGTTGTGTCTTCTTTGAGTCGTGTAGTAGTGGTGTGTACTAATCAATTCTAACCCTTATATTTAATTAATTTTGTTAAGTGACTTATACTAATCCAACTTATGTATTAATCCTATCTAATATGCACAAATAACCGGTGAACTAGAAAATTGATACCAAGATTCTTTCTTACTCAACCATAGCATGGACTTCTTGGCCCTGATAAACTAAAATATCATCAATTTTTATGCTGACAGAATCTAGTATAAAAAATCTATTTACATCAAGAAAAAAAAAGAATAACAGATGTTATTCATACAATAGCAACCACACAAAGTTTTTGTCTTGAATCAAATTCTTCTATTTATTTTCATATTAACAAGTTATATTATGTATTATTCATACTGATAACTAAATTTGTGTCATATTAACATGTTGTGTCGAGAATTGTCGATCTAATTACAAATAATACTTTNCTAAAATATCATCAATTTTTATGCTGACACAACCTATTATAAAAAATCTATTTACATCAAGAAAAAAAAAAAAAAAATGAAAGATGTTATTCATACAATAGCAACCACACAAATTTTTTGTCTTGAATCAAGTTCTTCTATTTATTTTCACATTAACAAGTTATATTATGTATTATTCATAGTGATAACTAAACTTATGTCATATTAACATGTTGTGTCGAGAATTGTCGATCTAATTACAAATAATACTTTATTAACTTTATATTCACCTAATTTGTGTTTCGTATGCTCAGATTTTCTGTGGATGGCACACCAATTAGAGAATTCAAGAATGCCGAATCAGTGGGTGTTGCATACCCCAAAAACCAAGCAATGAGGATATACTCCAGCTTATGGAATGCTGATGACTGGGCCACACAGGGTGGTCGAGTCAAGACAGACTGGACCAAAGCTCCTTTCACTGCCTCTTACAGAAACTTCAATGCCAATGCCTGTGTATGGTCTTCTGGTTCATCTTCTTGCAGTTCAAGCTCTTCATCATCATCTTCAACCTCTGGCAATAATTCATGGTTAAATGAAGAGTTGGATTCCACAAGCCAAGAAAGGCTTAAATGGGTTCAGGAGAACTATATGGTTTATAACTATTGTTCTGATTTGAAGCGCTTCCCTCAAGGCTTCCCTCCCGAATGTGCTCTCAACAACTCAACATAGGAAAGAGAAGGGTTGCTTAACATATATTGTCCTTTGAGCAGAGCTTTTTCCCCATAGCAATTCTTGGTTTCTTGTTTGGTTTATGTAATTCAATTCTTTTATTCTTTTTATTTTGGTGATTGTAATTGGAAAAATAAAAGAAGTATATATTGTTGGAATTTTTCCTATATTAAACTTCTATTAATTGATAGTTAATTTTTAATTTGTAAAAATTAGCTGAATTTATGGTCCAATAAAATGAAACTAATATTATTAAGTAATCTATTTTGATGGGTTTATTGACAGATTTTTTAATTAACGTGGTTGAGGCGGTTAAATGTAGCCATTAATTTAATTGTAGCCCGTAATGGGAGAGCCAATTAGATTTCACTATAAATAATAGGTTAGGTCATCTCTCCACTTCATATTCCTAATTTAGCTTGTTTTATTGAAAACCGTCTATTACTTTGAAAAAAGAGAGAAAGACCATACCTTTCCGCGAAAGAAATTCAGCAATCAAATATTATGACTCATACATGTATGTTTTAAATTTTGAATTTACAATCTAAATTTTAAATTTAAGTGTTCTAAATTTCATATACGAATTATTAAAAAATTTTATATGTGATATCAAAACATATCGTATATGAATTTAAAACTCAATAAAATTTATATTATAATTTTAGGGCTATTTTTTCATCAAGCTTAACATTTACCTTTTTTTTTTTCGAGTCGCCGTCAATTTATGTCGCTAAAACTAGAGAAGTTCTGCGATGGCGGCAATAACCTAAAAGATTGGATTTTGTTATTCTTTTATTCAAACATTATTGAAGGTGATGATACCTCAAAATAAATCTCAAACGCCAACTCAGAAGGTTAGCTCAGTCCAGGAGGTCAGACTAGACGAACAGAACTCGAAAAAGTAGAGTTTGAGGTCCCTTCGAGATAAGCAATGGCAAAAACAACTAAGGCAACAGCTGGAAGATCACGAGAAGTTCCTAGAAGCGTAGGAAGCAATAATCGAGGCATCTAATCGCAACCAACCAAGATATTCTTCTATAATCAAGGAGAACCTCATGAAATAAGGGCAAGAATCTCGACTAAGATCCCACTAAATAGGGAACAGCCTTGTAAATACTATGTAACGCCCCCAAGGAAAGAGAGGAACCCTAGAGGCAAAAACTAGTCATTGTACTCTTGCAATCATCATTATTGAGAGACAAGGAGCAAGAGTCTCCATTAAATAGTGGATTAACCGAGCTTCCGAGCTAGTAAACCACTATATTCCTACTGTGTTAATTCTCCAATTCTCAGTTTCATTCACTCGAGTCTAATTCCTCAGATCCCAACAATTCCAATATTGTTTTCTTTCACTTACTCGTCATCACAAATTCTCATCACGCTGAAATACATCATTAGTTTGGCGCCGTTTGTGGGAATGACTGTTCCTGTTACAAATAAAGCTGATTTTCCAATGACTGATGATATCAACGCGAAACATGAGTCGAAGTTAGACCAATCTTCTACGGATGCAAGATCAATAGGAAGTCACAAATAACAGGCAACCTGAAAATGCTCAAGAAGCAGATTCCCCCATGGGGGGCCTTCCCATGAATGATGAGATGGAGGCCCTTCGTCTTGTCAATGAACGTCTAATAAAATAGAACGAAGAGCTCTTAAAGCTCCTACAACTCCCACTAGAGGCACGACCGGCCCAAGGAGGCCAGAATAACCCACCACCAAGAGAGTAACTGCACCTCGACCCCCTCAGAGAAGTTAATGAGGTGGGAGAGAATAGCCAGACCTTCAGAAAAGAACCTCGACTACCCCCTACGAATGGACACAACGAGGAAGTGCAAAGTCAGTATAAGGAAGGGGAGAAAAGCGACTTCTTCCCTTATCAACAGGAGAGAAGAGAATACCACTAGCAGCAACGTTTCAAAGACATCCAGCAAGAGCTTAGCCAAATGAAGGAGGTAGTGAAGAGCAAGGCCCCAGTCACTATGGATGCCTTGGTGCAACAAACCGAATCCTCATTCACTACTGGGGTGTTGCACTTCCCTCTCCCACCTAAATTCAAAATACCGTAGGTGGATACTTTTGATAGGACAAAAGATCCCGTGGACCACCTCAACACCTACAAAAATCAAATGGAGTTGCATGGATATCAAGATCCAGTGACATGCAGGGCCTTTGCTATCACCCTGAAGGGTTCAACCTTAGCATGGTTCAACAAACTCCCCCCAGCCTCGATTTTTTCTTTTAAAAAGCTGTCAATCTCATTTATGTCCCACTTCATTGGATCTCGGACCTATAGGAAACCGAGCTACCATTTGTTATATGTGAAACAGGGACCTGATGAGAACCTACGGTCTTATGTCCAACGGTTCAACTCAGAATCGTTGAAGGTGGATGTCCTAGATGAAAAATTTACTATTACAGCCTTCATAGCAAGTCTAGGGGTTCAGTCAAAAGACCTGATGTTTTCTATCTCAAAGAACCCCCAGGCTAGTATGGCGGAGGTGCTCGCCAAAGCAGAAAAGTACATAAATGGTGAGGAAGCGCTCCTCTTCAAGGTCGCGAGCTCTTCGTCAAGAAAGGAGAAAAGGAAAGAAGAAAAGAAGAGAGAACGAAGCCCATAAAGGAAAGAGAACGAGGCAGGTCTCCAAGAAGAGACAAAGAGCGTTCCCCGGAGAGAATGAGAAATTTCAGGGATTGCCTCGGCTCTCCACAACCAGAGCTATAACCGAGGTATGCACCCCGGCAGCTCACCCCCACTGACTATTACAGTGTCTCAGATACTGTATAAGGTGCAAAATAAAAAGTTCTTAAGGTGGCCACCCCGGATGAAAGCAGACCCGGCAAAAAGGGATCCTACGAAGTATTGTGACTTCCACAGAGACCATGGTCATCACACCGATGACTGTATCCAATTGAAGAGGGAAATAGAATTTCTAATACGGTGAGGGCAGCTGCAACGCTATATGGCCAATGATAATTAAAATCGAGCTTTCCCACCCCCACCCCCTCAGCATCAAGCACCAGAGCCACACCGGCAACCTATGGAGGAGATCAGAGTGATATCTGGAGGATTTGTCGGAGGAGGAGGATCCAGCTCTGCCAGAAAGGCCCACTTGCAAAAAATCAGAGCCACAGAAGCTCCCCGAAGTATATATTGTGTCTAAATCTCCACGCTTAGACACAGTTATCATTTTCTCAGATTCAGATCTGAAGGGCTGCCAACATCCCCACGACGACCTATTGGTGGTAAGAGCTATGGTAGCCAACAAGACTATCCATCGTATTTTGATTGATAATAGCAGCTCAGTAGACATCATTTTTGCTTCTTTTTTCTACAAAATGGATATAGAAAGGAAAAAGCTTGAACCAGTAAGTGCCCACCTATTGGGATTATCAGGAGAAAGGATGTTGCCATTGGGGTCAATTCAACTCATCTTGACCTTAGATGACCCACCCTGTCAGACTACTACAGCTGTAAAATTTCTAGTGGTTGACGCACCTTCAGCATATAATATGCTCCTTGGAAGACCCTCGCTCAATTCTATAAGGCCTATTCCCTCTGTCTATCACCTTGTAGTGAAGTTCCTAACAGAAAATGGAGTTTGAATGGTCCGAGGAGACTAGCACGTAGCACGGGAATGCTACATGGCATCCATGAGAAATAAGGAGGTTGAGAGCATCCAATTGGATGAGCTTGACATGAGAGATGAACTTGAGACCAGGCCAACACTATCAGAAGAGCTGGAACCTGTTCAAATCGATGAGGAGCTAGAGCATCTTGTTTACGTTGGATCCAAGCTGAGCAAGGAGACCAAGGATCTCCTCATCCAATTCCTGAAAAGGAACAAGGAAGTTTTTGCATGGAAGCAAGAGGATATGAAAGGGATTGATCCCTCTGTCATCACTCACAAGCTTAGCGTGAATCCAGTCTGTAAGCCCATTAAGCAAAAGAGGAGGAGCTTCGCCCCGGAGTGTCAGAAAGCCATCAATGACAAGGTTAGCAAGCTCCTTCACGGAAAAGCTATTCAAAAAGTGGATTACCCAATCTGGCTAGCCAATGTAGTCCTAGTCAAGAAGACAAACGGCAAATGACGTCTTTGCATTGACTTTATAGACCTCAATCATGCTTGTCCAAAAGATAGCTTTCCTTTATCCTGGATAGATTTGATTATAGATGCCACTATGGGACATGAGCTCCTCAGCTTCGTGGATACCTTCTTGGGGTACAATCAAATCAGGATGGATCCTAGTGACCAAGAGAAAATCTCGTTCATAACTGAGCAAAGGATGTACTGCTATCAAGTGATGTCTTTCGGGTTAAAAAATACAGGAGCCACTTACCAGCGCTTGGTGAATAAGATATTTCAAAAACAGATTAGGACCTCCATGGAGGTCTATATTGACGATATGCTGGTCAAGTCACTGAAGGCAGAGCTCCACATTGGGCACCTAGCAGAGTTGTTTCAGGTCCTGAGAGAATATAAGATGAAGCTCAACCCTGCTAAGTGTGCTTTTGGGGTGTCAGCAGAAAAATTTCTGAGATTCATAATTAATAGCAGAGGGATAGAGGCTAATCCAAAGAAGGTAAAAGCAGTATTGGATATGCAGCCTCCCTCCAACACGAGGGAAATACAGCGTTTAATTGGGAAAATAGCTGCCCTAAGTCATTTCGTTTTCAGATCAAGCGACAAGTGTCAGCCCTTCTTTCGATTCTTAAAGAAAACTTTTCAATAGGATGCTCGGTGTGAAAAAGCCTTCAAAGCATTGAAAGAATACTTGAACTCCCCACCTGTCTTGGTAAGTCCATTAGAAGGAAAAGTACTTACCCTTTACCTAGCTGTCTCATAATTCACAACCAGCGCAGCGTTAGTAAGGGAGAAGGACAGAGCTCAGCAACCAGTTTACTAGTGCAGTCGAGCTCTGAGGGGGGCAAAAGAAAGGTATCCTAAAATGGAAAAACTCATTTTAGCCTTAGTGACAACTGTCAGGAGGCTAAGACCCTACTTCCAAGCTCATACTATCGAAGTTCTAACAGATCAACCAATGAAGCGGGTGCTGCACAAGCCAGAATCATTGGGGAGACTGGTTAAATAGGCCANTTGAACAGATCAACCAA